GAAAAAAGTTCAACTATTTTTTATTTATTTTCGCCTAATTATAATTTTCGCAGACTCTTAAGATCACCAGAATAATCCAATGAGTTCACTTTTGGACCTGATCAAACCCAAATGTCTTCGTACTCAGCTCGATGAGCTTTGAACTCTTCTCCTTGCCATACAACAAATGAAATTAGTTAAAATTAAAGCGTTAATACATTTTTAATTATTAATAATTATTAAATTATTTTTTTTAATGTTTTTATAAATTCGTTTTCTTTGCAATGCGCGGCTGTTGTTGCTGTTATTTTTACTCCTTCGTTGTTCTGAGGTTCACGTTGATGCTCCATTATTTTTATTTGTTTTTTCAAATATTTTAGAAATACTAAATGTTAACATAAGAATATTAAAATGACTCTGGCATATTGTAGAAATGACGTTTATCCTTATTATCCTTCGGCCGATTATCCTTCGTCGTTATGTGAGTGATTATGAGAAAATTAATGCAACAGATGACCGTAGCCATGGCCATAACCTCCATAACCTCCATAACCTCCATAACCTCCATAACCACCATAACCACCATAACCCCCGTAGCCGCCATAGCTGGAAAAGCCACCATAACTACCGAGTGAAACTGCAGGTGCGGCGTATTTGACGATCGATGGTGCAGCGGCTACTGTGTATGTAGGTGCAGCGGCGGCGTATTTGACTACAGTCGGTGCGGCGGCATAAGAAATGGCGGGAGCTGCAGCTGCATAGGATATAGCAGGGGCAGCAGCGGCATATGATATAGCAGGAGCTGCGGCTGCATATTTTACAACAGGTGCAGCAGAATATGAGATGGCGGGAGCAGCAGCGGCATATGATATAGCAGGAGCAGCGGCTGCATATTTTACGACAGGTGCAGCAGAATATGAGATGGCGGGAGCTGCAGCTGCGTATGATATAGCAGGAGCGGCGGCGGCATATTTAACGACAGCTGGAGCTGAGTGTGTGACCTGGAAGTAGAATGTACTGTTGTTAAGTGGGTGTATTAGGAACTCTTACAAGAGTAGGCGGTGATTACACACAAATGGGAAAAATACATTTATTTTATTCTTCATATTTTATTCTACTTTATTTATTTCATATATTTTTTGAATAAACTTCGATAGGTGCGACTCACCTGACTAAATGATGAATAACTCGTAGCTGCTGGAGCAGCGATTGCTTTTACAGCAACAGGAGCTGAAACAGCTACAGGGGCTGCAACTGCAACAGGCGCAGCAGCAATTGATTTGACAAAAGTTGGTGCTGCAGCTACGGCAACGGGGCCTGCATGTGCATAGCCAACAGCTGGTGCGGCATATGAGAGATCATGTCCATAATCAAGTAAACCGCCTGGGGCGGCAGCTGATGCAGCAATTAAGCCGAGAAGAATCTGAAAAGGATAACAGAATGAGTCTTTAATGCTAAAATCAATATTCTAATAAGTTTTTAGAATATCTGAATGTTTACCAGAAACTTCATATTTGTACGAAAATAGTTGGTAGCTAAGATCGAAGCGGTGGTTAATGCGTAAACGAAATCTCGAACTTTTCACTAAGCAATATGTAATGAAACTGCATTGCAATTCAAAAACTTGAGATACTTTTATACTTCGATTCAGTTTAGTGCAACAAAATATTATATGTAAGTAATGAAAAGAAGAAGAAAAAATGCACATAGAAAATAGATAAATGCACAATCAAGCAAAAAGATCACAGAATCGTTTTAAGCGTTCAACCATTGGCCTGTAGGCCTGTAGTTACTGAGGCACGCACTCTTGGCTTCAGCTAAGAAGCCACATATTAGTTGGACAGACAAAAGATGCATTAACTGTGACTGGCCAAGAGCAGTTGTAACGTATTTCGTCGCTACACCGGAATCGCCATAATTGTTTCTCTTACGCATTTCAATGAAAAATGAAAAATGAAAAATACTTGTAACATGAAATATCTGCGCTGAAGTAAAATGTGAAATATCCCAAAGAAACTATCTGAAGCAAATGTGCAGATACATTACATGCCCATAAATCAAAATTCATTCTAAAATTTAAAGCATAAAAATTTGGTCAAATAGTAATAGGATTTCTTGGTAATAGGATTTCTTCACTATATTCGCAGGCATTTATATTTATCTATTCCAAGTCGATTTTATGATTATATCTCAATTTATGAATAACGTCGAGTCGATTTTGGATTCCCTTCCAATAATAGATTAAATGCTCACTATCGTCTTATGCACTCTTCGGATATACTAATATATCTCAAAAAATTAAGAACTTATCAAGTTGTCAGAAAACAGAAACTACGAGTGAGATTTAGAGACAGTGAAACATAGTGAGAATGAGAGAACGGGGTAGATAGACTGAAATAAAGAATATGTGTAATAGAGCGATTTGAATAGAGAGTGAGACAAGAAGAGGGTGAGATAGAGAAGGAGCGAGAAATATCTCACTCAATATCACAAAATATAAATATAAAGTGATATATATAGAGAGTAAGATATAGAGAAAGTGAAATATAGAGAGGGTGAGATATAGTAAGAGTAAGATATAGGGAGAATGAGATATAGAGAAAAAGAGAGAGTGGGAGAAAGTGATATATAAAGAAAGTAAGATATAAAGAGAGTGAAATATAGAGAGAGTAAGATATAGTGAGAGAAATAGAAAGAGATAGAAAGATAGAAAGAGAGAGTGAGAGAAAGTGAGATAAATATCCTTTTTATTCTCACTAAGAAAGAATGAGATAGAGAGAATGAAATAAATTAAAGTCTAAAAATCAGAGTGAAAGAGTGAGGTAAAAAAAGTAATATAAAGCGAGTGAATGATAGAACGAGAGTGTGATATAGAGAGGATGAGATATCGAGAAATTGAGATATAAAAACAGTGGAATCTAAAGACATGATGGAAAGTCTTTTATGTTTCTATTTCTGTTGGAGAGAGAAGTGGATAGTGAAAGAAAGAGAGATAGAGAGTGAGATAGAGAGAGATAAATACCTTTTTTTTCAATTAGAAAGAATGAGAAAGAGATATAGTAACAGAGTGAGAGTTAGTTAGATAGAGAATGAGATATAGACAAAGAGTTTGATAGAGAGAGTACAATAAAGATAGAGTGTAATATATATATTCAGATAGATAGAGTGTGTGGTAATAGTTCCCCAGACCGAAGTTTTGTTTTGACACTCCATATTCGAAGTAGTTAAAATTCTTTCAGTGAATGCTTCCTTTTTTCAATTTTTATTTAAAAAGTTTTCATTCCTTTCTTGTTTTTCTTATTGTTATAACAAAATTTTATATACATCCTTCTCAGAGCTCAGTTTGATTAATTTCTCTCTTTAATAGTCTGGCAGTGCTCTTAGAAACTTCTAAGCTCAACTTTATTATGAAGAACGATTGAAACCCGTTCGGTGAATCATCAGTTGAGATTGTAATTAAGTTGTTTGAGTTGAATTTTAATTAAGACTTCAATTGATTTAAAATTTCTAAAATACTATACTTTTTTCAACAACATTGTTCCATTTCTGGCGCAGTTCTAGTGCATTTGTCATTGTTAAGGCAGTCAAACAAAAAAAAATATGCAACTGACATTGAAAAGCTCAAACAGTGTTCGCTGATATTTGCGGAATCTGGCAAATTGCTTTAATTTTGGAAAAATATTTCAATTTGAAATATCTGAATTTTTGGAACCTTTATTCGTGCTGTGCTGCACCTAAGATTCGCTTTATAAGGCACTTTAAAACATTTTAAATTATGTGCTTCAAACACTTAGAAATTCTACTCGAACACTGCGAAGAACGACATTTTTTCATTTGCGCAACTCAAACGATTTCTTAATATTGCCACATAAGTAAAGTGCAATACAAATTGCATTATTGCACGATTTGGGTAGAATTCATGGATAAGAGTTTTTAAAGCATTCAAAATCAATTTCTTGATTGTTTTCCAAAGAATAAAGGTTTATGGTAATCCTTTAATTAACGTTTCAATTAAGTAAGGGATGAAAGGACTCTGGCATTCAAAAGAAGGCGTATGTTAACTCTAGCATCATCCTTCTCCTAATGCTTGTCCAATATCATCAGTGTTCTGGTGATATTCCAAATAAGTATATTTCAACTAAGAGTTCAAGATCCGAGTGTCATTACATGATGTTCCTTAAATCAGGTAGAGTGCTTGAAAACTGTAAGAACATAATGGTCCCGCTTCCTAGAGTCTAAGTGAGCAAGATCTCTTATGAAACAAGCGATTACTAGAATTTACCAACTTGTTTTAAAATATGTTCACGGATATGATCAACACATATTTGTTCCACTGGTATTTTTATAGCTGGAGTGGTGTAATATGTTATCATGTGAAAAGAAAACAAACCAAACCGATGAGTTTATAACTATAATAGTGTTACGATTAAGCTCATATAATTTATAACTCTATTATCATTTACTAAGCGCATCAACGACTTTATTCCATATACAAATAAGTATACAACCGGTCCCAAAGCACAATTTATTGGGATCAAGAGTGATCCTTTATAGAATATTTATATTGTATATAAAGTTTCATTAATTTCAAACTCTTATATTATCTCGGTTCTAATGCATTTGATAAAGAAGTACTTTGCAATTTCCTCAGATGTACTCTTAAAATATATTTACTTTACACTTCTATAAGTCGAAGTGAAAAGATAAGGTTACATTCGAATAGTGCAAATAATTATTCAAAGTGATGCAATGACCAAAAACACAAGTTATATTTCTTCAAACCTAATATATAATACATTTTATTATCAATAACTTCTCTTATAAGATTTTCAAGTGCATATGCTTATACAAATATAAAAACAATTTATTAATTTTATATACTCTTTTTGGTGCAGTTAGAAAGCACAACTTCAATTTTGTTAATGTGTTTGCTTCTTTCATATTTTTTACTCTTTGGTTAAGTCTATATTTGAACTTAATTTTAATAGTATTTTATAATGTGGCATTTTCAATATATGATTAAGTTATTTTATATTATGATAGGGGTTTATTAATTTTTTATTTTGAAAATTTTAATAAACTTATATTGTCTTATCAAGAGCAGCGACTCTCACCAGTGTTAGAAGATAGATATTATCCTGTGCTGAAAACCATGTGTAAAAACCGATCCTATAGTGAATTGGTCAGAGGATTATGAGCACTTCAAACATTTAGAAACAGAGACATTTCAAAATAATTCAAGCAGATTTAATAAGTTTATTAAATTTTTTACGGTAACATTTTCGGTAGCCGAATAGCCATACAGCAAATTAGACTTTAATGGTTAAAGAAAAAATTAATTAAATAAAACGCTTCACCACTCTTTTTTGCACTCAAACTAATGCAGATTTGCTTTTATGGACGTTAGTAACGCCCAAAATGTTTGTGCCACCAAATAAAGCAATTGAGACCAGTAGCTCTGCGTACCCGCGGTAATTACCTCATTGAGTAACGCACATCGCATGAAATAGGTTTGCTTGACAGATGTTGCTCAAGCAATCGGGAGTTGAGTTTGCAATCAATTTAATTTGATTTTAATATTGTAAATGGAATAATGGATGAAAATGGTAGTCATACTGAAACAAAAAGGATCTAAAGAACGACTAGCTTAATGAATTAATTGATTGAGTAACTAACTTACACTCTAACAGAAAGGGATAACTGGCATCCTATGACAAAATAATAATCTATCATTTTTATTATAGATAATATGTTATCTATAATATTTTGTTATATCAAACATAGACAAATCGGAATTTGTATTTTTAATCTAATTATTGTATTTAATTATTTAATACTTATCGTATTTTAAGCTTTTCTCACAATAAACCGCTTCTCTAATGAATCCATTAGATGAATTAAATGAATTAATTATTTTCTCAAATTTGTTTCGATTACATTGGTGAGTTCTTTCAGTTGCCGTTTCATAAATAAAACAAAATATAATTATTATTTCTATTGCCAATCGCCGCTTCAACTTTTTATGGTACATATTAGTAACTTACCAGATTTTATAGCCACTCATGCTATAAAGTAGCATGCATGTTACACTTAGCCTTTTAGAGCAAAGCCATAAATGACGAGACTCGCGGAATAGTCCATGGTCTCACAGCCCAGGGATAACGAGGGTTACTTGTACAAATAGGTACTCCAACAACCTTTATTGTTGTGATTATAGTTTAGCATATATCTATTAATTATGTACTTGTGTTATTGGTAAATAGTTCTGACCGAAAAATAATTTTGGATACTGCATATACCTATGCTATGGGTACGCAAAGTATTATCATCTGAACTCAAAGACAATTATGAGAAGGGGAAATGTTACTGTATGGTTTTTATGTTTCTTATACATTTCCTGAAAAGTTTCCATTTATTTCGAAACGAAGAAAAATCCGACAAAAGTACTGATTCTGATAATCACAAAATACAAGCGAATTAGATTGGCGTGAAAGCTACTTTGGAATACCGCA